ATAATAAATTAAAATTTTATAAAAATTTTCTTGTCAAATAAAAATTCTTAAAAACATTTTTGTGTAAGAAAGAGATTAGTATGTAAGAGTTGATTTTTAAATATAATTTTTAGAAATTATCATAATCAATTAAAAATTACACTAAATATAAATTTTAAATACTTATTATAAAATTTAATAATTTATTATATATGCTAATATGTAATTATATAATAATATAAAATTCTTTATATCCTCGATTTACTTAAATTAACTTTAAACAAATTTCATTGTTGCTATTATAAAAATATTTTAAAATTTTTTATATTAAAATCTGATTATTTGTTGATATGTACTATTAAATTGTTAAAATTTTTCAAAAAATACTTAAAAGTCACATCCATAGTTCTATATTTACTTGATAATATATTTTTGGTTTAATTATTTTTTTATTTTTATAATTTTAAAAATTTTATCATTTAATTTTTATAATTAAAAATAATTTATTTTCATTATTAAACATAATATTTTATTTTTTTAATTATTTATAATTATATATAAAAAAATTAAATCCCTGTGAAAATAGATTATAGAGACTTAAAAAATAAAAATGATATAGATAGAAATTAAAATAAAAAAAATATTATTTTGTTATCATAGGGAGGAAAGGGTAAAATAGTGATTAAATAAAACCCTAGTTTTGCAGTGGTTCTCCCATTTATTCGGCTTGTGTCGTTTCCTTCCCTTTCCTCACGATCCGAGGAAGACACCAATCATCTCTCCGCGCCCTTTTTGGGTATCACTCACTCTCTTCCGCTTTCACTAACTATGTTACTTCAATTTCTTCTTCCTTTTCAAGATCTGCATTCTTTCACTTTCGATCTACTGCGTATTTTCTTACTAATCTTACTAGATCACTTTTTTTTCTTCTTCTGTTATTTTTTATAATTTTACTTAGTTATTTAGTTGGTTCACTCATGTTCTGTCAGTTACTTATAAACCAATCATCTATAGTTTCTATTTTAATTGTGACTTGATTTTAAGTTGAATTTTAGTTGGAAAATATAATGGGTTTTGGATAGACATCAACTATTCCGAATTTTGTATCATTCGCTGGTTATAGACTACAGAGATGTGGGAATTTATCTGTTCATCTGTATATCATGGATGCATGGGTTAAGTGAATGGATCATAGCAAGGCTATTACTATTGGAAATGAAAAATGTGTTTTTTTTTTCCTCTTTGCTATCACCACTGGTGTGATTTTTGTTTGAATGTTGATAGGTAACCGTCTGAAGTGCAGCAATGGAGGATGGATTGCATTTGCGGCATCCATCGGTAGTTCAGAAGTTGTCTGGACAGTCTTATCTTGTGTCCAGGCTTGCCCCAAATCACTCCAGAAACTATTCTACCACTGGTAGTTACTTCAACGGGGGCTTGCAGTCTTCGGGTTTGGTTCCGGTCACTGCACATGCGCCGGCTGAGAAAGGGGCCGCTGCATTTTTGGTGGATTTCCTCATGGGAGGAGTGTCGGCTGCTGTGTCCAAGACGGCTGCTGCTCCAATTGAGCGAGTTAAGTTGCTTATCCAGAACCAGGATGAAATGATCAAGAGTGGGCGTCTGTCTGAGCCATACAAGGGAATTGGTGATTGTTTCACTCGAACCATGAAGGATGAAGGCGTGATTGCTCTTTGGAGAGGAAATACTGCTAATGTTATCAGATACTTCCCTACTCAGGTGATATTTCTTTCCTCTGAAGTGGGAATGTAGGTTAGTTTGTTTGATGTGATTATTTAATTGTAAGCATGTGATTACTGATTTATTTGTTTCAATTCCAACTTTCTATGCTTGATCATGTTCTTCTGCAATGTCTTTGTTTTCATTTTACTTCAGGTGTACAAAACTCAAACCTCATGTGCCATTATATTTACCCTGGACTTGTGCAGGGTTTTTATTATGTTATTATTTGCAGTTGCACAAAGCCACATTCAACCCAATGGCTCTACACAGTTGTGGTCCTTTTTTTTTTTTTTGGAGTTTTGTTCATAAAGCATTCTTTTATTCTGAGAGTTGATAATGTTTTGTGTGGGAAAGGATTTTGGATAACATGTAGCCTTAGCTCTTGAATTTGCATCCCTGCTGTTACCCCCATTTATTTGATTTTGATGTGATGAATGTAAAATTATATTTGGTATTTAACTGTTTGATCTGTTATATCTATATGTTATTTCTGTATCTTCAATGCTTTCTTCTTTTTTTTCAGGCTCTGAACTTTGCTTTCAAGGATTATTTCAAGAGGCTTTTCAACTTCAAAAAAGATAAAGATGGCTACTGGAAATGGTTTGCTGGGAATTTAGCATCTGGTGGGGCTGCTGGGGCTTCCTCCCTTTTGTTTGTCTATTCATTGGACTATGCACGAACACGTTTAGCAAATGATGCTAAGGCTGCGAAGAAGGGTGGTGAGAGACAGTTCAATGGCATGATTGATGTTTACAAGAAAACCATCAAGTCTGATGGTATTGCTGGCCTTTACCGTGGCTTCAACATCTCATGTGTTGGAATCATAGTGTACCGTGGACTTTACTTCGGAATGTATGATTCACTGAAACCAGTGGTCTTGGTTGGTGGATTGCAGGTACATACAAATTTTTATTTTGAAATATGTTCTGTTTTATCATGTGGAAATCACTAATCATCTTCATTTCTGTTTCTTTTAGATTTAGGTTGTCTTATTTTGTGATAAGTAACTTGGTTAAATGTACTTGCTATATGAATGCTTATAATTTTCAGGCTCCTTGATATTATTTGATGGTTCTCACCAGATTTAGTTTATACACATGATCTGGAAATGATAGTATTCAATATGTTCTTACTTTTACTTACCTTAGTTACTCTTCTTGTTAACAGGATAGTTTCTTTGCAAGTTTTCTTTTGGGATGGGGGATCACAATAGGTGCTGGCTTGGCCTCTTACCCCATTGATACTGTGCGTAGAAGAATGATGATGACATCAGGAGAAGCGGTTAAATACAAGAGTTCTTTGGATGCATTCAAGACAATCGTAGCAAAAGAGGGTACTAAGTCACTCTTTAAAGGTGCTGGTGCAAACATATTACGTGCTGTTGCAGGTGCTGGGGTGCTTGCCGGTTATGATAAGCTACAGCTCATCTTGTTTGGAAAGAAATATGGTTCTGGTGGAGGTTAAGGTACAGATAATGATGACGACAACTATGGTGGAATCATGTTTCCCCTTTGCATTCAATAATTTGGTTGAAAAATAGTGGTTTTGAAGTTTCCCCTATGTAGGGGCTTTATATTCAGAAATCATAGTTTTGCAAACTTTAATTTTTGTTGGTTTATTACATGTCCTTAGCTTATTATCCGTGTAGTTTTTAGACGTTTTGGTTGAAATAATTGGAGACTGAAGTTTTATTTATTCATGTTTTTTCTGGAAGGTGTTAACTGTCTAATTAACGTTGTGTCTTAGTTCAAATTTATTTGCGTTATTATATCTTATTGCAAACTTTGGTTCCCTGCAAATTGAGTCTTGAATGTAAGATTTAGCAAAATTTGTTGGCCCAACACTAATATTGCAGCATTGTCTTATTTGGAGCAACCAATCTATGGGAGCTTGTGCTGCCAAAATTGGTGAAAGACCATGGATTGTGTACTTCAAGAATTAGGAAGGCTTCGTTAATTGAATTTCTTGGGAAAATCTTCCACCATTTCGATTCCTTTTGTATTACTTCCTATTATTTTTATGTCAGGTTTTACAACATAGCATTATTTTTTATTATCTATTATTTTTTATAATTACAAAACAATATTATCTTTTCAATTGTGTTTAACTTCACTTAATTTTTATGTTTTTTATATTTTTCATACTGAAGAAAGAATAATAATTGAAGTCTGATGAAGAAATTTAATCTAATTTTAATATGAACAAAATATTAATTATATTTCTTAATCTTGTATATTTTATCTTTCGAAATTAAAAAAAAAAAAAAAGCAATAGAAATTACTGGTGTTGAAATTCTTGAGAATAAATGCAAAGTTCAGGTGTAAACTTAATTTAAGAGATGAAGTAAAAAGTGATGTAATTTTGTAAGCTGTTTGGTTGAATTAGGAAATAAATCAAGTACGGTAACTTATTTTATTTCCTAATTCAACCAAACAAATGTGCATATAAAATAATATAAATATTTTTAACAGAGAAATTAAAAAAAAAAAAAAAGAGTATTTTACTAAATCAGAACACCCATCTTTTGCAAAATGGATGGATTATTGAAAGTGTGGATCCCACATGACATTTTATCCTTCCCCTCTTGTTATAAAGATAAATAATGAAAGATGATGATAATTTCTTAGATATTATACACACTTCAAAATTTTAAATAATACTCATCGTTTCTCTCTTTTTATCATATCATTTATACTTCTATAAAGTATTAGTTATTAAATAATACGAGTGTTCATGCATGAATTATCTTATTTCATTTTCTGTCCGCCCTCATCCACCCTTTGGTGAGCCGAAGATACAATGTTGAATCCTAGTGAGCTTTGCTTGCTCTGCCACAAGTCATCTCATCACTAACTTACTAGCCACATTTTCGTCTAGATATAACAATTACTCTCCGTAGGTATGTGTTTTGATATGGTGCTAGTAAGCGATTAGAATAAAAACATCCTTATTCCTAAATCTTCGATTCATGTGATCATGAAATAGAAATAATGGGATATGTCATCAAATTTAATAAGTACAATAATACAAATTAATCATATATTTAAATTATAATCATGCAATTAAGTTGAAATCATTTTTTTTTCATAGACATCCACATTATCTCAAAAATAATGACTAATAATTAATTTCTATTTACAAGTTGTTATTTTCACTGACCAAACATTATTTTTACTAGCAAAAATCAACTTGAAATCATCAAGTCAACCCTCTGTTTCAAAATATATCCTACAGCTACTTAGGTTAATAGACTTTAGTTAAAATCATTTTAACGATTACCATTATACTCAAAAAGATAAGGCAAACAACCAAATATAAACCATAAATGAATGTTATATTGGACAGTCACAAAGGAAGAATAAAAATACATTTCGATTTCGTATTGAGAAAAAATAGTACAAATAATGTTCTCTGCTTTCCAGATTATGTACAAGAATCATACCCTCAGCATCTGGATAAGGTGGAAAAATCAAATTACAAAATTTGTATGAGCACAAGAAGCATTCAGTCCTGGACATGAGAAGAAAGGTTTGACCACCAAAGCCGAGTGAGTAATTTCACTTCTCTCGTAATATTAAAAGCAAGACAATGTAAAAGTTGGTAATTTAAGCATATACTAAAACTAAAGTTGAGCAGGGTCAGTTAATCCTATTGACATAAAGTGTGAAAGAAAAGTCTCTAGGCAGGGGGTAGTGGACGCCGGCAAGTTGGGCACTCCATCTTTATATCCATCCATCTTTGCAAACAGCCAGAGTGGAAGAAATGGTCACAAGGTGTCACCTGTGTAACAGTTTCTGCATTAGACTCAACTCATGTTGCAAAGTTTAATTTGATTTCTTTTTATCAATAAGAGTTACGGACAACAAAGTTCGAACTTAAAACTTTATATATACTGTTCCAACTCCACCAACCCTAGTGGTTCATTGTAAAATTTAATTTGAGCGCACAAAAAAAAGGTCATTTATATTTACTTACCATGCAATCATTGGATCGCTGGGAAAGATCAATGGCTGTCATGCAAATAACACAGTCTGAAGCATGTCTTGTATCTTGATCAAACCTCCTATAATAGCTGTATTTTTCAGGGAGAATCTGCAAATCATGAAGATAAAGCATTCTTGAAAATTCAGAAGCAAAGTGAAATAATATGCCGGGTCATGATTTAAATTCACTTAGGAAAGAATAGAACCATAGTCCTAAATGATGAGGATAGTACAATGTTATTAATGGTTGCCACATAATCATGCTTATAATCAGGATGTCTATGGAATGTTTTAAAAGAATAACGGAACGCCAGTTAAAACTAAAATATACAAGAACAGAAGTCTTTTCTGCACGTGCTAATGGTTACAGAAGTATCAAAAAGAAAGTTGGCCCAACCTGACGAGGAATGAACCACCGTGACCCAAGATAGTGCTGAAGTAGGAGAATTGCAGCTTGAAGTCCAATAAATACAGCCAAACAAACACACCAGCTCTTGTCTGGTTCTATGCGCATGAAGTTGTTAGGGCAACCAAAAATATATAATGGGATTGCTAGCCGAGTAACAGTTATCCCTAAGATATAATGAGGATGCAATGGTTTACGTGAATCGCGAATAACATTGGTGATTATCTGAGGTATCCAAAATGAGTATATAAGAAGAAGAATAGGTCTCAAATAATTATGGAACTCATACATGAATAGAATGCCTCCCAACAAGATCCCATCTGCAGAAGAAGGTAAACTGTTAAATTTGAGGCCCTCTTTTGATATAAGGAAAAAGGAGTTCTTTCCATTAAATGAAACAACAGGAAACAAATAGCAAGAGTTCTTTGGCATGCTTCAAAAGTGGAATATACAACAAGAACAAAGCCTTTGACTTGGTTAAAAATCAAAGCTTCAGGGATATTATTAGAAAATATTTGGATATGGAATCACTAAAAATCTAAGGTACAAAAAGGGTTTAATTTAAACAAAAACATATTTACTATATACTATGAGTATGAAAGATATTTTTCATTCCGTAGCTCATTTTATCCCAGTGCATGGTCACCCTCAGCTAATGCATGGTGTAAGTTCGCAGGTTTCCAAAATAAAAAGTAAGTAAATACATTAAACTCATTATTAATACAGTGGAATTTTAAAGAGAAATTCAAATGACAGTTAACATACAGTTATTGCAATTTTAATCATCCACATAATGTTTACAAGCAAGCATCATAGTTTTTCAATTCTGATATAAAAAATAAACTTAAAAGCTGGAATTGAATCTTGATCAGTAAAACAGCATAAAAGTAGTATAACTCAGCCAACTAGCTCCTAAATAGAATGACTATCAAAGCTCAACAACTCAGGAAATAACATAACTTGATCACAGATCCCAGGGAACCGACTCAAAGGAAACTTGTGTTGATGAAACCAGTAGATCATAGCCATTTTAGCAAGATAGAAAATTTAATTCTTCTAAATAGGTACTTACAGAAACGACTGTATAAAACTGAAAGTTCTCGCCTCATTATCTCCCAACCTTCCCCGTTACTCAAAGGCCTACTTGCCTTCCAGATAGCAAGGAGGTATCTCATCTCAAATATTGAGAAAACTACAAACTTGAAAAATGCAGCAGTTGCAAAAGCATTAAACAAGGATTCTGCAGGGCAGGAAGCAGCAACATTTATTCAGCCAACAATCTTACTATTAATAAAGAATAATTAACCACTTAAGTTCCATCTACAGAAACAATGATAAAGCCATATTACAACAATCAATGTAAGCCAGCACTAAATTTTCAACAAATATAAATAATCTTCTTCCCCTATCATGAGAACCCCCTCCCCAGGAAAAAAAGTGCTTTTAACATGAAACAGATTTAAAATTGCTGCATATAATAATTTTGTGGTGTGACCTAGGGATTAAATGTTGTACTGTGATGTGTATACTACAACTGAATGTTGTATTAGGGACTAAAGCAGGTAATAAGATCTGGTGGTGCAAACATGGTATTAAAAATTATAGGTCCAGGTTCTGACCATCCAAGTATAAATTTCCATAGGCCATTGGAATTGTTAAAACTGGAATCTTCTTTTTATAAGGCGTGCACCAGATTTCAGGTATGAGTGTTTGGGATGCTTACACAAATTAGTATTCACAAGGTAAATTACTTTTAAAGCCTGGTGGTTAAGTCAATAAAATTAAGGGCAACAAAAAGAAAGAGGGCCCTTTTCCAATTAGAAAGGATCCTTCAATATATTTCTCACCCCAAAACTGGTACCTCTGAGTCTGAAACATAATGAAGATATGTTTGGGAGGGGAGAGAGAGAATAATCTGTACAGAAACCTCAAGTTGTGAAATTTCTAACTTACCAACTAGTATTCCAGCAGTTAGATGTAAAAGGCAAAGATAGGCATCCATTATTGCTTGCTGGCCAATCATTAATATTGAAACCTTAGCAGCACCCTGTAAATGTATATCTAAATCATATTCATCTATAATCATAAGTGCATATTTACAAAATTATGAAATCTGTGGCATGTGAACTTTAAATTATTGTATGGTACTTGGAACATGGAACATTCATCCCAACTAACGAAAAAATTTAGATTGATTCCATTAATTATTAAATCTATGACAAGTGAAATTTCAAATAAAAATCCAGAGTAAATTCTTACAGATTGAGTGCTGCTATGCTCCATTTGACGAATTAATAGAAGGACTTGCAAGAAAGAGACCTGGTATATGTATGTTAAGGAGCACGCACCATAACAGATTACAACAGAGACATAAAGCTGTAAGAATATTCATGATTGAAGGATACAAAAGTAACCATCAAGGTGTAGTTCACTGCTTTGTTATAGTAGACCTCAATCTTGACAGAAGTTGCATTTAACAGTAACGGTGAAAAGCAGTCCCCATCATCATCTGCTGAGGGACTCTCCATTAACCCTTCTAGATGAAAATGATCATGTTCACCCTCTGCAAGAAATAAATTAACAATTTGGTAAATCAAATGGACAAAAATATAATAATTTTTAATCCACAAAAAGAATGGACTCTGGATACAAAGATGTTAAAACTCAAAGAACGTACATATAATTTTTCTACAATTCATATAGACTCAACTTCAGCAATTCGTAATGTCAAATTTGATCAAACGATTCCTAAGTGTTGCACTTGCACCATGGACACTAACTTTTTTTTATAATAGAAGTCACTTTATTAGAAAAGGGAAAGACTATGGGAAGAGAGGAGAATAAAGCACCAAGAAGAAAACCTTTAGAAACATTAAACACGTTTATTGATGCAGATAAAAACAAAAAGGAACAGAGTATTCATATGCTGGGAGAGCACAAGTACCATTATTTGATGATGGCAAGCGTGAAATCTGAGAAGCAATTTCAATATTACAATGTTTCTCCATGTCATGAATCAGAGCTGCAGTAACCAGTACGGGCAAATAGCAAGTCAATATTGTACAACTACAACTACAAATAAAAAGGAGGGGGCGGGTGGACCATTAAGGTATATTAGTATGTCAGAAAAATTACAATGTTTTCTTCTCCACATCTTATCTCGTGAAGAATCTTGCAGTACCTGAGATGAGAAAACTCCAAGCTGTGTACAAAAGCCATATTCAAAGCAAATAAGTATTTCTGAATGCTCAACTTTTTTTTAATAGTAAAAGAAGAAAATTGTTTAGATGACAAAGAGGGGAAAGGTACAAATTTGAAGGATAAGGGAATCCTCCATATAAAGCAGGCTCGGGGTGACTACAATTAAGGCAGCTTTCCAACATACTCTTGTCAAATGGATTTGCTTAAATGAAGCAAAACTGCACAACTTTACATATTTACATCCATGTGTTTAAAAACCCAAATATGGTCCTAAATGTTAAGCAAGTTTTTGAGGAGAGAATAAAGGACTCTAACATTTGGAAATTTTAAATATTCCTGCTTGAAATATATTAACTGCAAGATTACGCTTCATATGATGAGAAAACTATTAGGGAATATCTTACAACCTGGTGATGGATGTATTAAAACATATTTTGACTTCCAGATTCAAATGTTTTACACAAAGTATGATTAAGCCAACAAAGAAATATCAGCATTAACTAGCAAGCTTATGACACAAAAAATCAAGACCGTGAAAATGATTCTTGGACCCAAGGAAATATCAATTAAAAAGAGTAAAATAACATATTTTAAAAGCAGGAACAAAAAGTGATCTCCAAAATAAGAAGTGCTGTTAAGATTATTGTAAGCTATGTAATAACATCAGATTATAAAATGTAAAAGATGAAGAATCCAAGAAGAAACATTGTTACCAGATGATATGGATTAGATAAAATATAATCTTCATTCTGGTTCAACTCTCCTTCTTTTCCACTGCAACAGAAGAAACAAAAGAAACTCTTCACTCAAAGGAAATATAAGCACTTCAGTTGGACTCAAGGATTGAACATTTAGAAATAGTTAAATTTTACTAGAATGATATGGTTTACACTTTACAGACCAGATTTGGAGAACAGTACATCAACCACACAGGGTTTCCTCCTTCAAGACACCACAAACACCAAACTGACACATTAACTACCTCCAACAGGTCTGTCATACTACACATTTAACACAGTAACTATCACACCGTAAAATGTAACCGTGCAATACAGGATCAACACAAATTAAAAGCCTAATAACACAAAAACGACTGCCTAACACCGAAATACTCAGCTTATCTATTATTTTTTATAACATAAACCTTCAATGGCCTCAGGCCATCTCCCCAAGAAGGCTCAACAGAACTTGGCCTATCAATTTAATTGCAAACAGAATTTGTCTATTAAATAAACAAATTAAACAAGTATAACAAAGCATAAAAACTGATTCAAGATGAAATGTCGAATTAGGACCAAAAGAAATTTAAAATTTTAAACACTCATGACAATATAAGCCAATTTGAGCTCAATAAAAATTTGATCTGCACATCACAGTGATGATATCCATGAAATTTACCTGTTGGCTACCATTCGAAGCTGTCTAAAAGGCCATATATATACACCTTCTATTTTAATTTGTGCACCACCAACATCATATTCATTGTCAAACACATCATGGAATATGACTACCCCCTATGAAAAACAAATGAAAAAGATGAATAAATTGTTAAAAGAAGAATAAGGATTATTTTACTGAAACAGTAATAAGGACATGAATGAAAGACTAAAAATTTCACTAATATAACATTATTATGTAGTGAGATGAAAAGGTAAATTATTTGGTTTATGATGTACGTAAAACAGAGTTAAGTGCTAAATTATTGTATGCTTATATATTAGAAGCATGAAAAATACACTTGATTCAGCAATTGAGACAGACTCAGTAAGAAAAATGATCCCCCGAAACCTATACAAATTATCAGCCTCTCTAACTGTGAAATATGAATACAGATCCAAATATGTATCAAAACTTTCTATAACAAGAAAACTAGCACAAGACAGTTTCATTTGATGGCAAGGTCCACTAGATGAGTTTTAACTGTTGATGTGCAAAAACATGAACATTGATGTATTTCATTTTATACCAAGTAAATTTCTTATTTTTTAGTATGCAAATGTTCATCAAGTACATTGAAAAAACACAAACAAAAAGGCTCTCTCTTAACACACATACACATGCACGCACGCACAAACATGGAGAAAGAAAAAGACGAAAACCTAAAAGGTATAGACAAATCAGAGATGTAATGTTACTATTAACCACATGCATGTGATGCAATTGTGGCATCAATTTCACACATACTTGTAACTTTTATTAAGTATTATACCGCTCAATAACTTTATATTAATTGTGAATTTTTGTAAATCCAACCGTTAGATTGAAAGTTCATATCATTTTATATGTGTATATCAAATTTTGTTAAAATTAAATAATAACTTGAAGGTAATTAAAACGTTCATATTTTAGTATATTTTGAAGTATATATATTATGTCAATTTTGTTTTATAAGAATGAAGTATCAAATCATCTTGGATTAATATAAAATTTTGTCATTTTCAAACAAACTAGTGTAAAAAGTTCATTATCATCAAAACTGATGTAAAGAAAACAGATAGATATGTTCCTCTAATCAAGGTCAGCCTTCTTCAAGTTTGAATTATTAAGAAAGTGTGCCTATCTCTATCATAAATTATAAATAAAAAATAAAAAATAAAAATAAATAAAAAAATCCATTAATATTTCCAATAAATACATAAAAAGATTAATATTTTAAGTAGAACAAATAAGAAAATACACAACATATGAAAGCTGAATTCCTGTGAAATTAGCAACATAGTAGAACATCTCACCTGAACATAATGTACTCCACTTATCTTTGTCGGCGTACTAACTAATTCAATTACAGAATTGCCATTTGTTTTTCTGATGTCTGGAAATCTGGAAGAGCCATTTGTGGTATCTAAAAACTTCCAAGTCCCTGCATATAAAGAGGTCAACATACAAACATCCTAAGACTTCCACAGACTTACAAATTTATTCCATAAAAAAATAATTGACAATGGTTATTCAAATGTGACGTGCTATTGAGAAATGAAGCACATTTCAGTAAATTGCACAGAACTACTTAAAAAATCACATGATCTGTCCAAACGTCTTGAGTTCATTTAGTTAATTTGAGGCAGCATGCAGCCTTGTTTTCATCTGGATGCTGCCCCCTTTGCCTTTATTATGCTTTGTCCAATGGCAGCAGATTAAGAACACATAAAACATAAGCACAACCCTAAGCATAGCAAATAGCAACATGTTTGCCCTAAAAAAAATTGAGGCATGAATTCATTCACAAAAGCAAGCAGTCACAGATTTTTTTTCAAGTCACAATAAAGTTCTAAACCAGTAACTTCTTGATAGCTCTGATTTAGTTTGTTATCCAATCATAATCATCTTAACATACATCAGTGAAACATATGCTCAGCAATACTTCAACTGTGCAACTGCTTACACTAAACATCAAAAGACCAAAGCTACAACTCAAATATAACAGAAAACCACATACACTTAGGATAGTAAAGACTACAAACCTTTGTAAGTTCCTGTTATGTTCCATTGTGAAAATGGACCTAAGTTGCCCTCTTCCTTTCTTGTAAATAGCCGCTGAGAGAAGTGACATATCAATTACATGCAAATAAGTCAGTTCTCCTTCAGTCAGATTTTGCCTCAATCATACCAATCCCAATTTGTCAATTAAATAATTTTTAATCATAAGTTGGTGTTTAGGAAAGTTAAATATAAGTAAAGTGGAAGGCTAATGCCTCACAATTGAGTGAAAACCCTTGGATGTACTAATAAATCAGTAAAAGCGACACAACAATATCATTTATTTTCCATTTCAAGATTCAATGTGCTTCTGCTACTTTTGATACAGGTTCTGAAAACGTTGTTTAACTGCAAAGCCAGGCAGCAAGGTATTATTTGCACACAAAATAAATTTTACAAATGCCCAATACCAATAATGATTGCTGATTTTTGATAGCCCAATTAATAGATCTACGATAACATATACACTGATATAATAATTATTAGACTCGTGGTTGATGGAATTTGGGGAAGTTTTTCATCCCCGAACACCTTATGAAATACACATGAACAATAAACTCAAAAGTATGACTATTATTTTATAAAGAAGTACCATGTAAGTAACTCAAAAACATACACATTGACACACATATCTATAAATAAACATAAGTGTTGTTATAATGCAGAACTTTCCTTATTCTTCTGAGAGGCAAGTCTCCTCCCTCATTCTCTCCCAATGCCGCATATAAACATTCTAAACAAACTAAATGAGCACCTATCACTCTTCTGCCTAGGTTCAAGATTCTAACTACATTCAATTAACATCAGCTTTAACATAACTTCAAATCTCCGGTTTCTAGTGTCTAGTCTACCTTCACAAATCAAAACTACTTAAAGCACTATCAGCTAATGCAATCCCTGACACCTTAACCAACAACAATTAAAATCCAAGCACGAAATCACCAACATTATAATTAAAAAACAAAAATCAAATTCATGTGCATCCTCATTCTTCAATTACCAGTAATTAAAAAACTGAAAATTAAACACAAGTTCCTACACAAACCTCATCATCCCAAGACCTAGTTCTCTCCCTCAAGGGTCTGAGACCCTCCACTGGATTAACGAACAGTAGAACCACCCACCACCCAAATGCAATCTGGCACAAAATTCCCAGCCCCCTCCTCCTCTCACACAAACAAAGCTCCAATCTTTCAGTGGCAACCATATCAAACCCCCAAAATTCAACTCCAATTCAACGACCCACTTCTCAGTTGAAGCTGACCAGAGTGAATCCAAGGTAGCAACCCAAGACCCACCATAGCAAACAGCTTAAAAAGGAGGCAATAATAAAAGGGTTGCTTCAGAAGAAGTCAAGAGGGTCATGGGGAGCTTGATCAGATAAAGAAAGCGAAAGACCAACGACTTAATTGGTCACCAAATGCAATTTTAGAAGCAAAAAAGGTGCCTTCACCAGATAAGTTTTGCACCAAATTTAACTTACGCTGTACTAATCAACAATCAGTAAAAGTAACAATAAAAGATTGTGGTTTCGGATTTGGGTTCGGAGCGGATTTTTGCTTCCGAGGGATTGTTGCAGAGGTGGTTGACGACTTTTCTGGGTTTTGGTTTTTTTTTTTGTGAAAAATGAAGGTCATTGCTTAGACAGAAGTAACGCATTGGTCACGCTCTCTATTAGGTAGATTCCTTGCACGCGCTGAAAAATATTATTATTAGTTAGTAAACATTATTTATTATTTATAATAGTTTATTTGAGTTTAGCACATTTATACTATTTTTTATTCAACTCTCTGAATCATGACTCTACTGAAAATTAAAAAACTGAAAGGTGGACTCCTTCCATCTTAAAAGTAATAATTGATTAAAAATATTGAGTAGATCTAGAGTTGGTATTTTTATAAATACTTAAATATATTATTAATACCTTAAGCAGAGTAAATTTGTTTTTTTAAATATTATTACACAAAATCTATCAACAATAAGTGATAGATTGAGACACTAGTAAATAAATTTTGTGTCACAATATTTGATAAATTTTCTAAAATATTGAGTATTGTTATGAATAATAATTAGTGGCTTAATTAGTGGATGCCAATATTCATTATCAATCATTACCATTTATATTTTCGTTATGTATTATTTCCTTTATTTGTAATTGTTCAGTTACCACATGTACTTATAAATAGGTTAGTCCTCTCCCAAAGATAATACACCAGTCAGATTCTTTTCTCCATCTCATATTGTCTTGTTTCTTCTCTCTACTTTTTCTTCCTTTTATAACACGTTATTGGCACGATAGTCTTTTATCTATTGGTGTTGCAACTACAAGACAAAGTTGTGAAGAATTTTCTTGAAGAAAGTCATATTTTTCAAGACAAATATTTCAAGGTTAGCTATTCATTTTTCACAATAAGAATTTTATCAAATATTTGTATTGTTTACATTGTTACGAATTAAAGTACTCTTGAAGACATTATAGTAGTCCTGAAGACACTATTAAATAAAGAAATTCTTCATACATTTTTGAAACCTGTCTAGAAGACAATATCAAAGAAGAATGTTTAACCTCTTTTACTTTATTATTTTTTTTCTCACCAAAAGTGGGAAAATGATGAAAAAAAATGAAATTGAAGGAATAAATTTTCTCACTAGAAGTGAGAAAATAATATGAAAAATGAAAAATAAAATAAATTTCACCAGAAGTGAAAATTTTCATATAAATACATTACATTGTATTTGATCCTTTGATATAAATGAGGTCATCACCGGAAGTGGGATAATTTTATAAATATCATAATCATAATATTGAATGATATTTGAGACACTTATAAAAATTATTAGTGAAGCTTGTCCTTAAGCCTGTTTAGGTTTATGTGTGATTTCTTGAAAGGGTATGAACATCTAAAGTTAGTGTTTGTGGGGTATGAGTCTCGTATAAATAATGCACATGCCTTTGTGTGAATTAGGGTTGTCTTGGGCCTTGGGCATGAGATAAGACATGATATGATAAGATATGATATGATATGATATGATATGATGAGATATGATATGATATAATTGGAGGGCGGTTCTGATCTGGGACGAGATCCCTGGGTTCGGGAATGATCTGCCCAAATACCAGGCCCCAAATACCGGGCTGACGTCGCTCAGCGTGTGCCCGGGGTGGCTTTATATCGCTAATCCGGGCTCGGAGCCCGGGTGCGAAGTACGGTCAGTACAAGTATTATAATAAATAATTAAATTAAAAAATTAAATATTATAATGATTATTTTTTTAATGATATTAAATTAAATATTCTAATTATTTTACAATAAATTAAAATGAAAAGATAATATTCAAATAAAATGTATTACCTACGGAGTTTATCTACGGGTAAAGTTATCTACGAAAATTTCCGTAGATAAGTTACCTACGGAAAAATCCGTAGATAAGTTACCTACGGATTTTTCTTATTTTGTGAAGGCGTCCTTTGAAGAACTTGATCCTTGGAGAAGGCATCCTATTTTTTGCTCATCATCTCATGTCCATGCAAGTAAGGATGCCACCACCAAGTCACCTGATTTATTGTTGGGAGGTTCATGGCGCCCCCAAGTCATGTGAGTTCTTGTTGGTGCCCCAAGTTACGTGATTTATTGTTGGTGGATTCTAATGGTGCCCCCAAGTCTTATTTTCATTGATGGTGCCCCAATTCATGTTATTATTGGCTCGTTGATGGTGTCCCAAGTCATGTGAGTTATTGTTCGTGGGTTGATGGTTCCCCCAAGTCATGTGTTTTATTACTGGTGCCTTGACGGTGTCCCAGGTCATGTGACAGATTGTTTGTGGATTGATGGTGCCCCGAAGTCTCGTATGGATTATTGGTACCCAGGTGTTATGTTATTGTTGGTGGATTTTGATGGTGGCCCCAAGTCTTGTGAGAATTATTGGTACACAGTGTTGTGTAACTATTGGTGGGTTGATGGTGGCCTCAAGTCATGTGGGTCATTATGGCTGGTGGGTTGGTGGTGCCCCTAGGTCATGTGATTTATTGTTGGTGGATTTTGATGGTGGTTTGTGTACCGTGGCCCCAAGTCTTGTGAGGATTATTAGTACACAACTGTTGTGTTACTGTTGGGAGGTTGATGGTGCCGCCAAGTCATGTGGGTTATTGTTGGTGGTGCCCCCAGGTCATGTGGGTTGGTGGTGCCCCCAGGTCATGTGATTTATTGTTGGTGGATTTTGATAGTGGTTTGATGGAGATGAGTAGAAGAAGTGAAACACAAACTCCTCCTAAGCTCCTCCTAGGCTCGAATCTTCTTCAATGGAGATTAAAACACAATTGAAGAACACGTTGAGATGAAGAACACTTGCGGAAATGGAAGAAGGTTAAGCTTAGAAGGAAGTATCCAAGCTCAAGCATCAATGGATTGTTCACTTCAAAGAGAAGGAACAATGGTGAACTCCTAAAACTAGAGAGAATTCACGGTGACTTTGAGGGAGAAACTTGGCTCAATGGCTCTCAAATTTCTGAATATTCAAAGTCAATACAAAAATGTGAAGGGAGGACTTAAGTATGCACGGAAATGAAGCACATAGGCACCTAAACCAAAGCTACACAAATTGGCGCCTAAAGTTTGAATTCAAATTTGAAATTTGAATTCAAACTTTGGTGCACATGTGTAAGTCCGAAAATTTAGGTACCAAGGTGCATTTAGGTCTGATTTGAGAGTCATTTAGGGTTAATTTGAGTGTCACATGTTCAGCCACCAATGGTGCAAAACATGTGACTCAAATGTAACTTAAATGGCTTCCAAATTAAACCTAGTTTAACCTAATTAGCATACTTTAGTATTCCTTGTATTTTCCTATTCTAATGACCTAATTACATTGGTCAAACAATTACAATGGAAAGGAAAAATTACAAGAATGAAAATGAGCCCAATATTGGGTACCAAAAGCCCAAAGGCCCATGAAGCCCAAAACTAGGCCCAAC